TGAAGTGTTGTTTAAAAGTAATGGCGATTCAAGGAATATAATATAAGTGATTTGTGAATGTCCGCCAAAATATAATACTTCCGTAATTTTAGTGGTATTGTGGATGAAGCATAATATTATATTTGCTACAAACAGGGGAAATAGCTCCGGTGTAAAGTAGGTATCGAGTGTACCTCGTCATTGAGCAAAACAATGTAATAGATCTATTAAATTATAATACAAAAATAAATCATTGTATACAGGAAAGTTATTTTGAGCAGAAACGACTTGTCGGTGTTGACTTGTCTATACACTATTTTAATATTTTTTTTTAAATAAACAAATCAAATATTAGAAATTGATGGATAAAAAATACTAAATTTACATTATTAAATATTATCTAATTTTTGATTTTGTCATGAACCAAACATTTAAAAAAATTTGTCAGTGTTTTTCATATTTTTTAATTGCTATAAGAATAATATATTAGGAACCGTGTATTACATTTTCGAGATTTTTGACCTTAAAACATCAATTTTATCAACAAGTTATAAAAAATATAACAATACGAAAATTTAAAAATATCTTTGAAGAACTGACTAAAATAAAAACCAAAGTATTTTGAAAATTATATTTTTTCTAGAAAATGCTGATATTAATATTTGGTAAAAAATGTAAGTCTTGACAGTTATTTGTTTTTAAATGTTGTAAGGTCGTTGTAAAATCGTCGTAAATTCAATATATTCATCGTTCTGCTTTAAATCTACGATATAATTTTTTAAATATGGAATTTTTAATGTTCAAAACATACAATAAGTTATGTTATAATTTAATTATAAGACATAATTAATATTTAAATTAATTGAAATCAAGACTTCTTTTATAGTATTTTGCAGTGGAAAATAATTAAACAATTCAATTTCACCTTTTTTGGTTTTTAATCAACCCATATTATAAAGTATAAACATTTCAATTTTAGAACAAATTTACATAAACTTTTTTGTTCATTATAATTTATTGTGTAGCACTGTAAGAGTTTCTAGCGAATGATATTATTATACCACAGTGTAAAAATATAATAAATGAAGAAGAATAAATATTGTAATATTATAATCAATATTTATGAAACTATTAATTCTCATAAGGATTTACGAGTCTATAAAATTACAAATCAATACAATTATTTTTTCATACATAACATATAATATATATGAGTATAATATCGTATATATATATTAAATAACTACAAGGTTCAACTGTAACATATACCTTTACCTATATCAATCAAGAACCAACAATATTATTGTTTTGTTTGTTTGTTTGTTTGTTTTCGCGTATTGTGGTGAGACTTGTTTTTATCACCACGACGGTTTACAAAGGAAACAATATAGGTGCATAGATTTGTAAAATGTGCACAACATATTTCTCTAAAAATATCATCTGTCGAACTCAAACTTTCGCATCGGTCGATTTAAACATATTTCCGGAAATAAAATAATACACCAATGCACGTACAATGTAGTTGGTATGTTTAATATATTATTGAACATACATTATTGTACTTTGACATATATTGAAACTTCTTGTTGTGGTTTCAAAGTTTAAAAAACTTGTAACACCCATTCGTTTGATCTGAAACAGCGTCATGTTGTTAAAACAATTTTAAAATACAGTAGAATTGCATGATATAGAATATATTATAATATAACTATAAACTAGGTATATTATAATATAGTAGCTACATAGCCACGTCAGGTTAGAGATACGATAGTCTTCGCGATCAGTGTATAACTTACAAAACAATAAAAAATATTGTGGTCTATAAATCACCGACGAAAGCGGTCATTTTGGCATTATTATTATTAGTATTATGATTATGGTTAGGTACAGATAGCTGCAACAGATTGTAGTTACTACACTTGTCGAAAACACATTATTCGTAAGTACATTTTAAAGCAGTAGATATTAAATCGAATAAGAAACACATAAAAAAAGTTAATTTGCACGTTTTCAGCAGAAGTATTTGTAGGTACGAAACTATTGTGCGGAACGTACACGTATAGTATAACATAATGTATATATACCTCTGTGTGTGTGTGTGTGTGTATTATGTCTATAAGTGTTTAAAATTCAAGAAGAATAAGGTATTAAAAGAGCAAAGTTAGCAGGGAGTTGTAAAACGTTCAGAATACATACAAACCAACATGGCAGGGTGAAAAAAAAAAATAATAAAACGACCGAAAATACCAACGACTGTGTATAACATAACTGCCTCAACGATTAAAGTAAGCGCATGCGTATCTGTTCAGTTTTTAGTTGTTGGTGCCAATATGTTTATAGACCAATTATAAATCATTACCAGGCCTATTGTTTTAGGTTATAGTACTGTTTAACTAGTATATTATACAAAATGTAGTAAGTAGGTAAATGGTAATATTTAAAATATAAAAAACAAGGAATGCAAAAGAACGTATATTTATTTTTTGAAATTTTGACGGGAACATTTACTAATTTTTGTGGTTTATTATCAACACAATTTAACGATTATTGCTTTGTTCAGCTCATATTCAGTAATAATAATTGTTATTTGTACGTCTTACAACAACATCGTGTCATCAATAATTGGTTTATTATTATTATTAATGGTTCTTTAAACATACTAATATATTACCTACTGCTCTCAATCAAAATAATAGTTTGTAAATAATTGTATTTGTCAGACTATACTAAACATTTATTAGAAAAGTAAGAAATACTGACTTGATATCTGCAGATTTAAAACACATATCAGCTCTTTTGTTTTATTTTTGGCAGAACAAAGCAGGCGTTTTACATAAAAAGTGTGGGATACCCAGTCAACGGGGGGTTGCCCTCCCCCCAAAAAAAAAAGAATACGTGACAGGGCCAGCGCTTGTGTTGGATTATTACTAATTTATAATACATTATAATCGTAGGAAATACGACGGTGGTATAATACAAACACGATAATGGCGCAGACTCATCCGCCCCCTCACCATACTCACCTGTTCAGTGCCGTATTTACGATTTTTGTTATTTCGTGGCATGGGTTCAATTATAACAAAATAGTTTTGTAAAAAAAAACAATGATCATAAAAATAAATCGCCTATAAATAAGTTTTTTTTAAAAATCTATTTGTGGGTATAGTTATAGTAGTGATGGTGGAAATTCTCTTTATACCCCTTCCTCCCAGCACTATATAACATATTGCATCTGTTCTTTGGTTACAAGCACACATATGATTGCATATGTTTATGCACATATATTTATAGATATATACAGTACTCAATAATATAACATTATAAGTAGTAGTAAAGGTCATTTTGTACGTGCATGTTTCGGCTCTGGATAAGTGACTCCTGTACAGACCCGGTAATAACTGTATCAGCAGGATACTTTGATTTTTTTCTCTAGCACATCAAAAGGTATTCAAGTAAAATGAAATAGAATATTTAAATACAGGGTGCGGCAGTGAAACCTGACGATTTAAAATGAATTGGTGGGCGTGGCTAAAGTGGTAGAGATTTCGGAAATGCTCTTATCGCTTTTAAATACCCTGAATTTAGTTGTCTTGGAGCATTGGTCGAGTGAACAGCGTGGGTTCGCGGTAAAGGCGTATTACAAAAGTAATGATATAATATTATGTAGTAGTAATGTGTGGCTAACCAAGAAAGGCATTTGCCTGAAACAATCTTTAAAAAATAAAGTTTTTAAATATATAACATAAAATTCCACTTGTGTAATTTTTATTTGTTTGGCGAAAAATTAATAAAAATTTTTTTTTCTATTATTTCAATTTTTAATTTTTTAAAATCGTCAGATTTGACTGCCACACCCTGTATATTATATTACCAGCAGACCCACTATTTGAAACAAAAGTATAATTAACAATCATCATAACTATATATAGGTATAAGAAGAAACACGCCTAACTTTTCTGACCAAAGTGGTCTGAAATTAGTCGCATCATAATTTATCTAATTTGTATCATTTTATACTAAAATAATAGACACCATTAATTGGACATGCTGTACTACGTATAAATAGTAAATTAACAAATCGCTATTCAAGTAAACTCAATTGTTGGTTAAACCTAAGAGTATAGTTATTTTCATAATGTAAGCGATAAAAAAATCAAAATACCGCAGGTGTACCTACCTTTAAAATGTGTTTTTGGATGTCAATTCAGCAGTAATCGATTTCACTTTTACAGGTACATGTCTAAATTGGTGTAGCCAGGGTAAATGTATATATTTCAATATAATATTAAAAAGTGTCGATTTTATTTGTTTTATCCCTAGAACTGTTTATGGTCGTACTACCATGTATTTTCTCCCTTGTAGGCTGTGCATAATAATATTATAGTCATATTATGTCTAGAGTCCATTTAGTATGCACGTTGTGGGTACAAAAAGGTCTTTACAATGAACAATAATATGAATTATAAATAAATTGTCGAAAATCATATAAGCATAACATACATCGTGGAACAACCAAGTAAAGCACCATTATACATTTTAAAATTGTCCGTATAAACAACCATCCCTTTTGCTTCTACACTGATCATCTCGTGCCCATCATACAACCCAGTAAAAATCAGTGCAGCCATCTATGCGTGATTTTATCACTCACACAGTCAACTATAATTATTAGGTATATGATATAGAATACCTACAACTCTTCTCGTCGCCAAAACGAAAACTGCGGTAGTCTGAAATGATTTATTCTGTCGGAATATTCTTTCTATGCCATACGTCATACAATATGTTCGATCTCCATCGTGTTCGTATCGTACGCCTATATGGCTATATCGTTTGATAAATCGTACCGAAAATGATGCTGGTACTCACACACTGCAACATAAAAGCTCACAGGACCGCAATTTGTTTACCCGTGCACGGAACACGTCAGCAAATCTTTTTGTTTATTCGTTTTTCCCATACACACACACACACACACATATATATATATATTTTATACTCGCATCGGTGCAAACACACTAATGCAATGTGCCACACTCGCCGGTATTTGCCTACGCGAGATGCGGCGTCGGACCCGCATCGTTACGGCGTGTGTAATGCTCGCAGATTTAACAACATTAAGCACCGACGACAACAGTGATCATTCGTCTGCTCAAACACAATATATGGGTTATTGTAGCAGAGTAAGACAAACAGCGCAGCATCCGAACACGTGCCGCGTTGATAATCGTACGCCGTCTTCGTCGTCGGATTTATAGACATGCTCTGTGTGTGTGTGTGTGTGTGTGTGTGTGTGTGTATTATAAATGCGGCGAACCGTGGCCGCCACAGAAGATACTCTTCCGCACAAGGATTTCACATACCTAAGCTATGGACCTATACTCTAATAATTGCACTCGCGCTCGCACACGCCAGTCTATACTGTGGCATGATATACGTATGGACATATTATTATTATGTGTAAAATTATAGGATTTTTTTATGTTATGGATTGTGCCAATGCAACTGTACATCTCTCTATCTACCTTTATAGTAATGCCTGATCGAGAATATAATAATATAATTAATAAGTTTTAGCAAGAGATCGAACACAAAAAAAATCTGCAATACGGCCGTGGTCTACCTATAGTACCTATGTCTGATTATAGAATAATATGAAAGGACTAGATAGAGGTCACTGAGATTCAGAGTTTGTGCTACGGAGCGTCAGTGGACAGGGACGAGACGAGTGTCTGCAGTGGTGTGCTGCAGTGTTTCTACTCTGTCAGATTTCACATAGTAGCTAATATAGTTTGAGTATTTTCAAAGTTCGTACGGAAAATCTGGAAACACATTATTAGTAATGTCGATATATTATTATACTATGTATAAAGGACCCATGCTGTGGGGTTCATTTCCAACAAAACGCAGACAAAATAATATCATTATAATTTAGTATACAGTATATTATAGTGTGTCAGCTCGGATATAGTGATAATACAGTTCATAAAACTTTTATAATATCGTATAATACACGAGTATCGGTTTGTTTATCGATCGTCAATCATAATCAAATTCGTATAAGGTATAGACTATAGGTATAAGGTTCTGTTTTAACTTTTAGGAATATTGATGAGATTAGAACATTTCACATTTTTAACATTTTCCTTATTGTATACCCAATTCACAAAATAAAGTTAAGCCCACATTTCGTCGCTACTGACAACATGGAGTCAACATAATATACCATTGATTATGATAAATGCTATTTTAAAAATACCTTATAAACGTGATGTATCTTTTTTAGCACAAGATACTCATTATTTAAACCAGTAAATATTGTGGTTTCTTAATTTGTAAAATATTATGTATGAATAATGTTATAAAGTACTCGCCTACTAAAAATAAAAACAATATTGTCAATATTTTTAATTTTAGATTCTGTAGCCAAATATGTATGGAAACATTTTAGTTTCTAAAAAAAAACATTAGACATGAAATATTCTAAATATAAGGCATTATGTATGCAAATTCGCAGATATTATAAAAATCGTAAAGTAGCAGGAGGTACAAAGAACTCATTTATCAACATCTCATAAAAAAGTCTATATTATTCGTTATTTCTTTTAAACTATATGTTCATACAATGCCGTTTCAGAACCAGAACATAAAGTTAATAATATCGATTGCCAATTAATATTTTATTCATATTTCTAAAAGAGTACCGAATATGTATTATTATATTTTATTAAGTTTGACTAATAGTAGTGTTTTTGTTCTAGTCATTGATGGGTTCAAACTCCCATAGTTGACAATTAGCACAGTTTATAATTATAATAAATATATATAATTTATAATGGAGACATTAGTTTGAGAAGGTACCTACATACTTTCAAATTATTATAATTTATAATGCATTTGTGTTAAATATTATTTTTTAAATAGGTAAATATGAGTGGTTTGATTTACTGGACAACGAAACCACTCAATGCAATATCAGTTTATAATAGTACGTTAGTTTTTAACAAGAAATAATACCTCTAAAAGCCAATGTAGTTAATAATATATATACACAAGAGTCAAAAATTAATTAAAACAAAAAACTTGAATTTTATTTTCTATTTAAAATAACAAAACTAGCTTCATTGAATTTAGATTGGTAAGTGTTAAAAATAAACATAAATATATTCAGTATAATATTTATTTTAGTAATATTATAGATGACATACCTATCAATATTTCTTTGGTAATTTAATAATTTTATGAGACAATATTTTATATTTGTTCGAAGTATCCTTTATTTTAAATAAAAATATCATTTAAACTAAACATAGGTGATAATAATTCATAAAGCATATTATTATCTTACTATTTTAAACATTAGTTATAGCGAGTTTTTTTTGGACAAATAATTATTGATAATTTATGGTTTAATATAATATATACATATAACCATATAGGACATATAGAACCTATGAGTATATGTATAAATTGTATTATGTTTATGGGGTTAAGAAAAGTTGTGGAAAAGCATGATTTTATCTACATAAAAACAAAAATACTGCGATAAATCTTTAGGGTATTCCTAAAAGGTTGACTTAAATTTAAAAAAAAACAATATCATATTATTCAAATATCACAAGTTAACCATAAGTTGTCCCTATGTTATATAAACACACATAAGCATTATGCATCATTCACTACACTTAAAATAAGGGAAAATTTAGCCACTAATATACGCATCTTATACCATTACATGATACGTTTATTAATAATCAGTTTTTTAAATAAATTAAATAAATAATTTTATTTGTTTATTTAAGTAAATGATCGTAAAAAAATAATTTTTGGTAAATAGAACTACTAAACAACCAAAAAATACATGCTGCTATTAAAATAAATAAATGTTCTTGTTTACGACCCATTTGTCAATAATTAGTTTTATAATATAGAAATAATAAATAATTTAAAAATTCAAGAGTACCTATATATAATTTCTAAAAACAACAATGGACGACAATCTAATTTTCAAACAATAAAAAGTCGAAAACCCCAATAAAGCAATAAGTGAGTTTATTTTGGAGGAAATAGCTATAAGTTAATTATAATCCTATTCGCTTTTCTCTCGTTTAAACATAAAGCTATTTTAAGATTCGTTCTTCTAAATTAGATTGTACTTCATGAAAAGAAAACATAAAAATTAAAAGTGATTTGTTTTTAAATTTTACTTTAAAGTTAGCTTAATTAAATTTAAATAATAGTGAATTTTCGAATTTTATTTGTAATATTCAAAATATATTTATTCTTTAAAAGTAATAAAGTTTTAAGTAGGTCTTGAATTAAAATTAAACTTAAATTACGTAATTGGTACGTATTTCATATAATTTAATATCAGATTTTCTTTTAATATAATTATATTTTAACCATTTTTAGTTTGAGTGAAGATAGGCGATATTATATTTTATAAATGATAATAACATTTTTGATTTAATTTTTGACATTGATTCGGAACCAATTGAACAAATTTGGGGTGCCCTCATCATGCCCGAGATTAATAGCCAATAGGGATTTAATTATTTGATTTAAATTAAATAATAGTTAATTTACTTTTTAGATTGTAAGCGGAGCGATGAATATATTAATATTTAAATGATGTGAGTTTTTTTCTATCCATCCTCATTTTTTGAGGCAGTAAAAATGCTTATAATTCAATTATGAATATTATGGTAATAAGTAATAACAATATTTATGTTATTTTGTTATAATTTAAAAATATTATTCGTGGTTATTTGAAACTTTTTATTTTTAAAGTACCTATATTGTTATATTTTATACACAGAATGGCATTTTCAAATGCAATGTTTTTGCAAACAAACTAATTTAATAGCAATAATTTCAAAAAATATGCTTAGTAAATATAGTAATATAATTTGACTGCCAACAGCGTCAGAATGTCTTCGCTCAGAATCGTTGTCTTACACAATGGTTTTATATCATTGAATTCAAATTCATCACATCCATTATAGTGACCCACATGACAACTAATATACAGTGAATTGGTACCCAGTTGCCCCCTTTTTTATTATTATACTTGTCTAGTCTTAATATGACCTTATGGTGTTGACAAAATGCGTAAAGATTAGTGCGGTTTTAAGCTTTAATTTAATTTATTTTTATGATAATAGTATGATAAACTTATAGATTTATTTATTTATGTTTCAAGGTAATCCATTGTTTTTTTTTTAATAAGTGTGAATGTTATACCATATGAGTATACTTACATTGCTAATTGTCTATATTAATTTTATTATTTATATACCTATCATTGATAATTTATAAATTCAATTCTTTTGATTTGGCTCAATTGTCTTTATACAATTTTAAAATATCTCTACGAGAATAATTCATACTGTTTTAACGGTTTTACATTATTAAGCTGATAGTAAAAAACTATATTACCTTGCTAAGATTTATTTCTTAAATAAATGATTTATAGATCCTTTAAAATTGGCAATGCATAGTTCAGTACTTTTAATCACAAGTGTTGTGCACACATTCTAAATGCAAAATAAGTTCCCAAGACCTATCATTGTATACAATAATGTTTTACTATACATAATGTGTAACACGGCGCGTCGTATAGGCAATATTGATACATTATCTTTAAGAACGTCATATTTTTTCTCACAGTTTAATATTAAATTATTATATAGTTTTATTGTTTAATATATTTTGCTTTGTTCTGTATAGGTATTGTAAAAAATTAATAATTACAGGAAATGCCACTTTCTTTAGGATATAAGATTATACTATAAATTACAGATGTGTTCAAAATATTATTGCGTACACGGTGATTATTTCGATTTCAGAATGTATGCTCTAATGTAAATATTATAGCCTTGTAATTAAATAATATTTTTAAAATATATAACTATAGTTATATCAGTTATATTTAATCGGTTATAGTCAAATTATTCAAAAGACCAAACCTATTAAATATAATATGTTTAATAAATTAAAACGATCAAATCAAATTTCACTCAGAATTTATGATATACATTTATAAATATAAATCAAGTGTAGAAATGTCCTAGTATTTTTCCAAATAATATTTCCACAAAACTAGAGATAATATTCTACAAAATCGCTTTTGTTTATTACAATAAACGGCGATTTCTGTATTTAGTATATACATACTATACAGTAAAATATAATTTTAAATATCAGTAGAAATATAGGCTGATTGTTTTCACTCAGAATCATTTTTCATCTTATCTAA